GGGGGGGGGGGGGGGGGGGGGGGGGGGGGGGGGGGGGGGGTAGGGATTGAATAGGAAGAGCTGGTAGACCCAGACCTTCCCTACACTCCTCCCGCTCTGAGTTTTAGGGTTTGTCACCACATCCAACTGGACCATGGAACCTGCTTGCAGCGTCTGCCAAGTCGACTGTGGACGTCAGAAAGGAAAGGTCTTCAAGAAAGGGGAAGTTGAGAGGAGTTCAGGGAGCAGTGCAGGGGCACGGAGTTTACTCAAAGCGGCTCCAGGGCCATTGAATAACACGTTTATTCTCGATGCTTTGGAACCCCCTCCTTTATGATTAGAGAACCAATGACACAAAGCTCTTTGGATGTTCTGAACAACTCAGCTATCCCGGATCACGATGTCATGCGTCTGCTGCTGCGGATCTCTGACGGATCATTAGGAGCGTCCGAGGTCCGCTCTCTGACGTCAGACAGAACAAAGCTGGGACCCTGATGCAGAACATAACCAGCAGTCACGTATCTTACTAATTAAAGGAAAAAACTGTCTCGCTCGAAGAGTAAAAGAATGAGATCTTTTAGGTAATTTTCTGGTTAACTGAGTGTTAAAGAAAATAAAAAAGATATTTTACTTAGTCCTTAAGTACTTATTTTGTCTCAATTATTCTCCACTGTATTGGTCCACACCCTCATAGAGGAGCCGTCAATGCAATCAACACAACATAGTGTTTCCTGAGTGACTGAGGAACCAGTCATTATTTTTAATACAGAATCATCAGTTTCGATATCAATGATGATTATATAGAATCCCACCCCAATCAGAAGTTCAGAAAATTGGACTGAACATATTCTGAGCCTAGGGTGAGGTCTGAGAGTTGATTTTAAATAAATCCCTTTCCTTTTTTTTTTTTTTTTTTTTTTTAATTCCGTTTGCCTCTCTACCTTCATAGATGAGTACAGTCAAGAGCTCTACTCCGGGACTGCTGCTTGTTAAGACCGTAGAGCCTCTGCGATGCAACAGCTGATCCTCTAAGAATGTATTTTCACCTCCTGCGCTTCCCCTGATGATGCCGGGAATGCCTGAGGAGGTTCGAGAAGGGGTCCCTGACAGTGAAGAAGGATGGAGAAAGAAGACAGCGCAGAGGTGCACGAAGGCATGAGGAGACAAAGCTTATGAAAGAGAAGGCCAATAAGGGGGGCCATGGGGGAGCTGTGAAGGGTCAAAGGGCAGGGAGAAATTGCCAGAAACAGCCCAGTGTACTTTGTTTCGTCTATGTAAATTAAGCTGAGGGCACAAATCCTTACTCAGAGCAGTCTGGTTCTTACAGGTACAGATGCTGATGTCAGTGGATCAAAACAAAGTAAGACTAAAACCACGTGGAAAGCTCTTGCCCCAGCATCTGCTCTACCCGTTCCTTCTGCAGCCTTGTTCACTAGAGCAAGGACAGCCTCTGAAGCCATCCACCTGTGCCGGTCACTGCAGTTAAACTGGTGGTTCAAACAGTCAATCCAGAGGTTAAGACAAGGACTAATTCCCCAACTTTAGAGAGAAACAAGATCCTATTACCAAATGAAAATGATACTCTCAGTGACCAGCTGAAACCTGCAGTGTCCTTTGTTCCAAAGTCAGGACAGGCTGTTGCTCCTGATAGTCCATCCATTACCAATCAATTTTGGTTTCAATAACCCAAGTCACTGAAATGTGTCCAGACACCACACAGTCCAGGCTGGAAACCCTTAGACGGAAGCTGTTGTCTCTAATCCCTGAATACCAGAACAGCCACAGTCTTTTGCTGAGTGTTCAGCTCTCAGAGAATTCAAGGTCAGCCCCTCCATGGCCTTCCACGAGAAGAGTGAGGTTTAAAAAAGAGGCCAGGATCTTAACAAAACAGTAGCAGGAAAGGCTATAAATACATGTTTACGTTAGGGAATCACTCTAAAAGATTTCGTTGCAGTTCAAATTCAAGTGGATTTCAAGACAGCAGGGACAAAAAAATCACAACGACGACTGTAAGGAATGGCCTACCTATTCCTGAATTAGCTCCGGTGACCACGACCACTTTGCCGGTGAAGTCGCGGCCCTGGAGGATCTCCATGGCGGTGGTGCTGCCATCGTACCTCTGCCTGCTGGGTGGCTTCGCAGGGTTCTCATCCACCGTGAATGCCAGTCTCGGGTCCAAATAGGTGGTTCTTTTATTTATATGGCTGCAGAGAAAAGGAGGAGTTACGCAGGAACTTAACAACATCAATGCCCAGTAGGTAAGCTGATAAATTACAGTACATCTGTACAAAATAATACTCCACGGCCACTCAGCACCACTGTCTTGAAAAATATATACAGGAGAAAATGCTCACAAAACTTTAGTGGAGAAGGACAGGGTCCTACACGATTCACAAAGCACACTCCCTAAGTTTTTTTTTTTTTTCTTTGAAGAAAAACAAACTTGGAGAATAAATTAAAAAACAATTAAAAGTAGTTATTCTTACTGGTAAGATTACAGTTATATACTGTATATTTTTTCTAGATTCGAGGTATATTACTTTTACAACAAAAAATTTCTACTGAAGGGGCACCTGGGTGGCTCAGTGGATTAAAGCCTCTGCCTTCGGCTCAGGTCATGATCCCAGGGTCCTGGGATCAAGCCCCGCATCGGGCTCTATGCTCAGCAGGGAGCCTGCTTCCTCCTCTCTCTGCCTGCCTGTCTGCCTACTTGTGACCGACCGATCTCTCTCTCTCTCTCTCTCTCTGTCAAATAAATAAAAAATATCTTAAAAAAAAAAAAAAAATTTCTACTGAAAACCAAAATGACTGAGTTCCTATATAGACACTTACTCGACAAAAAAAACTTGTCCATTCTCATCAGTTTCTTGTTCCCATCCGTATGGCAAATCTGAAACACAGGAAGACTGACAGGTCTACATGCGGCAGGGATGGGGCAAACAGAGGCCCGTGCCCTCCCAGCCCCCGCCCCAAAGCCCTTCCCACTGACCAGCAGCCATGCTGGGCCAACTCAGGCCGTGTGTACCAACAGTGGCTGTTACAAAAAGCCCAAGAGAAATCACCCTCACCACTCCACCCCTCTCTCATTGCCGCCTTCTGCCATATCCCGTGAGCTCCAAAAGAGAGCCCGATTCCTTGATGGCTCCCTCCTAGAGAACCTTCCAGGAATGACAGAGCAGGCTGTCCCGATTGTGACAGTTCTGCTATCTAATTAATGCTTTAAATGCAAGGTTCTTTGCTTTATGACAACCACATACAAACCTCCTGCTATTCGTTTTCTTTTTCCAGTCTTTGGATGTTCCCACTGGGTCTTCTCCTCAGCATGACTGTTTTTAAAAAAAAAAAAGTTAAAACTCCACAAAAAAATTGTAAATGAAGGTTACACTACTAAAAATTAATCAACTGCATTGCTTCCCCCCTTCCCCCGCCCAAACAACACTATTTCCCAAGAGAAGTAAAGCCAGAGTTCAGAAAAGACATATTTAGAACATGAATGCTCTGGTCCAATTCCCTGGATGGGAAGGAGAAGCAGCCCGAGGAAATCTCCTGAAAGCCTGTCTCTGTGAGCGGGCTGTGGAGGACGAGGAAGAGAAGCGGACGGGAACCCCTTGGGTCAACTTTAGGAAGCTTAGTGAATCACTCAGAATATCCAGAGATGTTCTGCATTTGTTTTCGTTTTATCTCAGGAGAGATGAACAAACTTCAGTCTACTTTATGATACTGATATTTAGATATCATTTAGCTATAATATTAATCTTAAGTATTTACTCTTTCCATAGATATAACTTTGAAATGTTTTAAGCACTGACTCCTAATTGCTCCCAAGAGGTATTTAAGAATGCAGTTAGAATAGGTCACCTCTCTGTAAGTTACTCAACTTCAGAGCCTCAGTTTACCTATCTGCAAAATGGAAAAGATCCTAAAACTCATCTCAAGGAATTGCTATGATAAGGTATATAAAGGGCAGAACACAGCACCTGACATATAAAATACCATCAAAAGTGCTACCCATTATTTCAAACAAATCAAATACACAAAATAGTCTTATTGTGCTAAATTCAGCATCTCCTCTAACAGCAAACAAAGTTATAATTAAAATCGTGAGCCAATAACAGACGAGAGATACCTGTCAACAGGTAATAAAGAATCAAGAAAAACATAAAATTACTTCATCAGAGAAGCAGCCGGCTGTTGCAAGAGACATTCACAGGGGAGGATGAATTTCTAAAAGTCCACATACTCATGCCAAAGTAGAAAATAATAATTAATCACCAACATCTAGAAGATAAAATCTGAATATGCCTTCCCTACCAGTTACTTTAAAGAGAACAAAGAAAGCACAAATCTGCGGTAGAATTTTACATGTGCCAACAAGGTGTTTTTGGGAACTGCAGGCTTCAGGTCTGTTTGCAAACTCTCAGTGGTGGGTTCCACAGCCCTGTCGACACTGGACTCAGGAGACAAAGGCTTGGGCTCCCGCACGCCTGTAACCAGTCAGCCAGTCTCCCTGGCCCCACATACCCACCTCACAGGGCGGCTGGAAGAAAGGTAAGGGACACGCTACTTGTGACAGTGACAGGCAAACAATGAGGTCACTGTACAAACGCAGGGTATCAGCAAGCAAGGACCAACGTCTACTTGTACATCAACCACCACGAAATTCTACTTGCGAAAAGGGAGAGCCTAAGCCCCGGGGAAGGATAAGCTGCTCCTCGTGGGCACAACCCCTGCTTCTCCCCGCGAACTGAAGGAAGAGTGAGCAAACAGGCCAGACGCTGGCAATGACATACCCCGTTCCTGCTCTTTGCTTTCCTCCTCATGCTTCTTCGGGAAAAGTTTACAAATATGATTTTACATTTTCCTCTGCCTGGTGTTAAAAGTAGTTCGCATTCCACAGGCAGGCAGCAAATGGAGCTTTGAGCCAAAAACACCTGCCCTCAAGAATCCACAAAGTGCCCCTGTGAATGGAACGCAGATCCCCGCAGGCCCGCGTCCAGCTGAACCCCAGACACCTAGCCCTGGGCCTGGCCTGAGGAGTCGCCCAAATGGAAACAGACAGAATGAAGAAATGCTTTCTGAAGGAGTTGGAAAATTAGCTGAGAACATTTTTTTTTTCTGTCCTGAAAGACATTTTAAAAAAACAAGATAAACATTGTCACCTGCATGTTTTTGACTTTGACAGAAAATGCCTAAGTCAGGGTTTCCTACCACTGGCAATCCTGACATTTAAGCCAGACGGTTCTCTGCTGTGGGGGCTGTCCTGTGCACTGCAGGACAATTAGCTGCATCCCCGGGATCTACCTACTAGATGCCAATATACCACAGTTGTGGCAACAGAAAGTGTCTCCAGACATCACCAACTGTCCCCTGAAGGACAGTGTCCCTGAGGGTGAACCTCAGGCCTGACACAAGAGAAAAGTACATAATTTGGTAATAAGGATTGCAGAGCCCAAATGCTCATGAGTTCTGGCTTTCCCATTCACCAGCCATGTACCCTTAAAGAGGTGTTTAACCTCCCTGTGCCTCAGTTTCCCCATCTATAAAATAGGGATAATAGCATCTGCTCCTTGGGGTTACTAAGGACTCAATGAGTTAACATGTGTGAAGAACTAAGAACTGTGCCTTTCAGACAGAAGCATTAATTTAAAGAAATACTCACATATAAAACTTAATTAAAAAGTACTCTTAATTATAACCTAAAATGACTTTTAATGAACAGAAAATCATGACACATGTCCCCAAAGTGTTATCTTCCTCTCCTTTAAACAGAAGCCCTCTTCTATTTTTTCTTTTTCAATAAGCTTTTTGTCATTTAAAGAGATAATTAACAGTGATCTTAATTTAAACCAAAAGGATCAAAATTAAATCCATACCACATTACATGGATATCACTTCCAAGTATGTTATTCCAGAAATTTGTTTTGAGGCACAGTTAACTTGGGCACAGACAGCTGGCTGGGAGGAGGGAGAGCCCTGTGGACCAGGGAACCATCTCCTGACCAGGCAAGGCTGGCTGGCCCCTTGGCTGCCAAGATGCCCAGGCTACAGAAGTCAAGGGGGCTGGGATTCAAGGGCCCAGGAAGGCCCAGGTGATTGTGGCAAGAGTCCCAGGCACTGAGACCTTGTCCCTCCATCCCCACCCCCTGGCTTGGGCACAGGCGCTGCTCCGGACCATGCCAACGAGGGGAGAAGGGCCCACCAGCTCTCACTGGTGCCAGGTCTGCCCCTCAGTGGCACGACTGTCCTCTCCTTGGAAGCCCAGCCTGGTGGGACATGCATGCTCTTGTGGTCTGTGAGTACAGCACGGGTCACATGGGAAAGCAAGAGGGGCCAAAAGAAGCCACGCAACAGGAGGGGGCAAAGGTATGAATCAGGGAGCGGGTTCTTATTGGGAGCTACAGCCTTTGTCCTTGGGGGAGGCCTTGCTGCAGGAAGACTATGTGAAAACAGGAACTACTCAGAGGACAGTCTTCTTTTAGCCCGTTAACCATTTCCCAAACCCCAAGAAAGGACAAGTGACCCTTCCAGACTTGAAATAAGACAGACTAGGATGCTTGTAGATCAGGAGAGATCAAGGGGGACTGGTGGGAATCCCGGGTTAGGGTCTGTCAGAGGCATCCTTCCACCTGGAGAGCTAAAGAACAGAGGGCAGGGGGACTGGAGAGGCGACCCCAGTGAGGACCCAGCATAACTTGTCACTATATTCAGTGTAAACAACAGGGCCAGACAGGCCAGTTTGAGACCCAACACTGGGGAGGAAGGAGAGCCTTTTCGGAGGCCATATATGCACCATGAATCCCCCAGAAGCACTCAGAGGTGCCGACTGGGGTGTGCTGATCTTACTTAGAGAAAAGAAGAGCCCAGACGCTGGATGCCATCAAGGAAGGAAGCAGATGGGAAAGACCCCTCAACATAAAGTAGGAAGCAAGGGGGAAGAGCCAGAGTAACACCAGGCTCCAGGCAAACTTGAAAGGAAGTCAGGGAGCCCAGGCTAAGTGGCTAGAACGAAGGTAAGCCCCACAAAAAGCAGGAGGCAGAGGAGGGCTCGAACCTCCAGGATGCCACAGCACCTTTGCATTCCAGGGGCCCGTATGCCACCTGCTCAGGGAGGCCCAGGGAACCCTTCACTGGAGGAATTAATTCACTCATTCCACAGGGACTTACATCTCACAGGAGCTAAGCACAGGGGATTCAGAGGGTAACAAGAAAAGATCCCTGCCCTCATGAAGCTTACAATCTGCGGGAGGAAGGCAGAGCACAAACAAGGGAACATGGCAAAGATGACTACAGAAAAGGCCAAGTACCATGACTCAGATAACGAGATGCTGGAAGGAGGGTTCAGCGGTCAAGGATAAGGGGAAGGTCTCTTGAGCATTTAAGCTCAGGTCTGGGGGATGACAAAGCCCTTCATGTAGCTCTCCAGGAACCAGGCACAGAGATCTCCAGGCAGAGATAACAGCGAGTGTGGCTCGGAAGCTGCCTGCAGCCCAACAACAGCCTCACAGCTCCCTGCTGGTAGACTCACCCCTATCATTCTCCAGACCCAGAAACTACCTTTCGAAAGATATAAATCCGATGGCAATCCCTGGCTCCAAGCCTTCAGTGGACCCTTAGGTCCTGACAATGGAGCCCCAGCTCTTCCATGAGGCACAGAAGGGCCTCTACACCCTGGGTCCTTCCTCTGCTGCCTTAATCTTCCCATCACACCCTGGGGCCTTCCTCTGCTGCCTTAATCTTCCCATCGCTGCTCCAGCACATGGGCCGGAGAGAGGCCTCCACTGTCTCCTCTGCCTGGGCTGCCCTCCTGGCCCTGAACACGCCCACTTCTACTCCTGCTGAGGCCGGGCTCAGGTGCCAACTCTCCCCAAGCCCCCGAGGGGCTCCCCACCTACTCACGCAGGCCTCACATTAGCTCGATGCTGCTCACTAGCCACACATTGCACTGGAACTAGCCACGTGTCACTCTGCCATACAAGACTGGCTGACAAGTGGGTCTTATTTATCTCAGTATAACCAGCGGCCAACAAAGAGCCTGGCATGTGGTAAAACCCCAGTGTGTCTTGAATGAATAAACTCAACAAGGTCTATCTTTCTTTTTTCTTTTTTTCTCTCTTGGTTTTGTTTCTGCCAAGCAACCAAAGACAGCAGTGGCTCACAACCGTGGGTAGATTAGAATCTCCTGGGAAATCTTACAATATATCAGTGGAAGCTGGAAGGGCCCAAACCAGTTGAATGAGAATCTCTGGAGGAGGAACCAAGGAAAAAGTATTTTCTAAGCTTTCCACCTGCTGAAAATCACTAATTTACAACCCTGCTTCTCAAAGCCAAATGATAACCTGCCTTACGGGAAAAGCCTATAAAATACAGATTCCCCACGCTGGGTGTCTGCTGCATGAAGGTCTCTGATTTCTAGGTGTAGGACCACCGACAGGTTGATTCTAATGAGGCTTACGAGGTGCTGTCACAGCTGCAGAGAAAGCAAGAAAAGCTAAGTTATTGAGCAGAGCACTTATTAGATCTATGCTAAGTGTTTTAGGAACAGTGTCTGAATTAAAATACTGTCAACCCATTTTACGGGTGGAAAAACGGTGACTGAGAGTTCTTTCAACGACCCCAAGTCGCACAGTAAGGGGAGGGAGAAAGGGTCTTCTGGTGTTTCCAAAAGTTTACCAGGAATTACTGGAGTTCTACTATATATGCAAAGGTATATATGCATATATACATACACATAAATATTAGGACATTTATTTTTAAAAAATACATACTCCTAGCTCCCTGCCCAGGACCCCCGAGGAGGAGGGAGAGGGGCACTGGCTTTTTTTTTTTTTTTTTTTTTTTTTTTTGGATGAGGAAGTAAGGCCTGCGGGCCACCAAGGCACCGTGCAGCGCCGCCTCTGAGCAGCAGAGGGCGCGCCGGGGCGCTGCCAGGTGACACCCCGCAGGACCCAGGGCCCAGAAAGGCTGCCGACCCCTCCTCGGGACCCTGGGAGCCTGCATGAGGAAGCTCTTGAACTGTCGCGTCCACTTCGCGCCGCCTCGCCGAGCGGGAGCGCCGACCCGAGCCCCTCCGCGCGCAGGTGGCACTGCAGGCGGCGCGGGGTCTCGGGCACGTGAGGCCGTCAGGGTTCCAGGTGCGGCCCCCTCCAGGTGTGTCCCAGGCCCGGCGGCCCCCCTGCGGCCCCTTACTTGGCGTAGTAAACCCAGCCGTCCTTGGTGGTTCTCTGCTCCCAGCCCGGGGGCAGCTCGTCCTCGCTGTCCGTGTCGTCCAGGCCAGCGTAGCGCAGGGCTGCCATGACGGCAGAGGAGGTGCTCGGTCACCTACTCTCTCGGTCGCCCGCTGCCGGGTCTCCGCGCCCAGGAACTCACTCGGGCTTCAACCAGGCGCCGCGCGCGGCGAGACCCAAACGCTCGCGCCTGCGCACTGCACAGCCCCGAGCCGCTCAGACGACTCAAGAGCTAGAATCAGGTCTCCCGCGTTTCGCAGCTGCGGGCGTAAAAGGGGCGGGGCCTGGGAAGAACGGGTGAAAGCGCGAGAGGGAGAGCGCACTGCCGCTCGGCTGGAAGTAAAAGCAGGCGGACGCTCCGTTACCCTGGAGATGGAGCTGAGCTTCGTCCACCTCCCGGCCTTAGGGAAGGGGCGTGGGCCTCCAGTCCTGATCCAGGACTCCGCCCGTTGCTGAGCGACCCGTAATTACTTCCGCGTTGTTCTGACCAGTCCTGCTGGAGCTCCAGCAAATGAGCATCCTGGGAAATGTAGGCCAGGCCCGGCAGGCAGGCACTGCGGAGCAGAAATGAGGGATGCGGGGACTGTTTTCCGGGCTCTGGCCTCTCCGTCTTTCAGAACGCTATGCAGACTGCATGCTCCTGCTCAGAAATTCCAGAGCTTCCCATCACCCAGGCTGACTCAGACGCTTTGTTGTGCATAGAACCATAACGTTACAAAACGTGGGAACGTGAAAAATGAAAGTTCCCGCACCTTCTAACAGCCACGACTTGGAGAAGATGCTCGCAGCCGCGGCACGATTCTGTTCATAAATAAGGGGCGAACGTTTCTAAACAGCTTAATTCCGGGCCAAGAGTTCATAGACTCTTTCCTGGACCAGACACCTCCGTGAGGTGAGCAGTTAGAAGAAAGAAGAGCAGGGGACTAACTGGCAGCCGAGACGCTACTGCTACCCCACAATTACCTACTTACCCGCCTGCTCCTGACTAAACTGACGGAGCACCACATCTTATGCCTCTTTGTGTTGCTCGCACTTAGTGAAACGCCTAGACCTGCAAGTTCATTGAATGAAATAAATTAAGGAATCAATGTGATTTGGTAGGTTTGGCCCTCTATAACTCAACCCAGTTTAAAACAAATTCCCAATTTACAAAGTGGAGCACCTGCAAGTATGCTATCAATGTCCTGTGTCAAAACTGGAAGTGTAGGGGCGCCTGGGTGGCTCAGTGGGCCTTCCGCTCAGGTCATGATCTCAGGGTCCTGGGAGCAACCCCCCCTGGGGCTCTATGCTCAGCAGGGAAACTGCTCCCCCCATCACTGCCTGCCTCTCTGCCTACTTGTGATCTCTGTCAAATAAATAAAATCTTTTTTAAAAATCTGAGGGTTTTGAAGGGGCGGGGGGTGGGAGGTTGGGGGGAGCCAGGTGGTGGGTATGATGGAGGGCACATATGGCATGGAGCACTGGGTGTGGTGCATAAACAATGAATTCTGTTATGCCGAAAAGAAATTAATTTTTAAAAATCTTAAAAAAAAAAAACCCACCTCGAAGTGTATCTCTAACTTAGTTTTGCCTAAGTTGTTTTCCAGAACATTCCCCAACTGAAACTTGCATTACAGGGAAGTCTACTGACCAGGATTCCTGTGGCCTATGTCAGAAAAATGCAAGCCTCCATCTCAAAGGTTATGTATCCTTGATTTTTTTTTTAATTACATATTTAAACAGGTGGGGGTGTGGGGAGGCAGGGAGCTGTGTTGTTTTTTACCTTCAAGTCCTGAAATTGATAATGCTTTGTGATTCCTGCTCTGCATGCTTTTTAGGGAAGAGATTGCTTTCCTCTGAAGGTCCCCAACCAAAAGCTAACGTAATGAAAATATATTTTAGTCTTAACAGGCCCACTATGGCATCTCAGACCTATGAAAACATCACTCCCCAGCCCATATACATGTAAATAAGTTAATTTATTAATATGTTGCTCTTCTGCTCACTCCAATTTAACCCCTTGTCTCTGTCACCCAAGCCAATTTATTGTTTTGATATAAATAGAGATTAGGTCACAGTGACCCCAAATAATGGGCCGGGGAATAAATGGAATCAAACTGAGGAGTGTTAGTCTTTCCAATCATAATCTATAGCTCTGCTCAAGGACGGACTGCTTAGCTTCATCCCTGGTTGCCCTCACCAGAACCTCTCTGGGCACCTGTTCTCTAGGACTCAGCAATAGACCACAAGTATGGTATCTTCCCCAAAACTTGCTAGTGGTCCCCTTGGTAATATTCACAACTTCTAGGTGAACCCTCTGCTCTTCCTACCACTTAAACTATTCCCTCGAACAGGTGACGCTACGAACATCAGGGTTTCTCAGCCTCAGCACTACTGACATTTGGCACCAGATAATTCCTTGTTCCTGGTGGGAGTGCAGGGGTGAGGGGTCATGCCCTGTGCATTGTAGGATACTGAGCAGCGTATCTAGCCTCTACCTGCTAGATGCCGGTGGTGTCCCCTGCCCCCAGCTGTAATAACCAACAGGTCTCCAGGATGTTGCCAATTGTGCCCTCACTGGAGAACACTGATCTACACTGACAGTAAGCCAGAAAACTACTAACTCATAAATTAAATGCTGGGATGTATTTAATATGTTGAAGAGACCCTTCCCGGCCAATGATTCACAAGGTGGTATTCAGACCCTGCTGGTTCAGGCTGCCAATTCTCTAGCACTGTCTGAGGGCACGTGTTTCTTCAATTCCTAGTCACTTCGGAGTTGAGATCCATGGGGTGACAGAAGTCTGGCTGAGAGTCCCAGACACCAATAATGGCCCCAAATGGTTATGAAGACCTAATTTTATTCCTCTCTTCCTACTTTTTATCTGTGGCTTCTATCAGAAGATTAAAAGAGTAAGACACACAGGCATTTGAGGACTTATGAAGATAGGCATGCCAGATTATAGGATTTCCTGTCTTTTGGCTTCATTCAAACTGATATTGATTTAATAGTGCTTCTCTGATTGCAAGCAACAGAGACTTAAGTAAAAGTTTATATCCGGAGTGCACATGAGCTAAATTAGAATGTTATCAGGGCCTGAGGGAGCTCAAGGACAGGCTATTTTTTTTTTCCTATTGTGGATTTCATGGTCCCTCACTCCCCACTCTCTGCTCCAGTTACATTCTCCTGCTCTCTCTTTACTGGCCTCGTCTGTGCACTGCCAGTTCTTGCCCCTTGAACTTTAGCTTACACGTGGTTTTGACATTGGTCTTATAAGGATCTATAAGAGGGTGAGCTCTATATGGTGTATAGATTATCATAGGTTTGAGGAGCCTTAAGTTTGGGAATGAGCCAAGGTCCTCAATATGTACCCCTAAGAGAGCCTAAAGAATGGTTTGCTTTTGTATAAGCCAACTAAGTCCCGCTGATGGGTAGTGAGGAGATGTTTTAAAAATCCAGTGTGTGGTTATACAACTGCACACCAGATGGCCCTATGTGCCCACGATTTGAAAGGCTAAAGACCCAATTCCTGACCAGCATTCCAATGTTTGAACTCTTCTGTCTTTGAGAGAGCATTTACACAGAAAGTTGATGCACACGGATCGGCAAGTGGATGCTAAAAGCAACTTGGCGCTACTTACATGGTGGACACAAGCTTTAGTGGAACATCCCCAGTGCTACATTTTGCTTCTTTTGTTTTTAAAGATTTTCACTTATTTATTTATTTGAGAGAGAGAGAGAAAGTGAGAGACAGAGTCTTAGTGGAGGGGGAGGGGCAGAGGAAGAGGGAGAAGACGACTCTCAGATGAGCAGGGAGCCAACAGGGCTCAATCCCAGGACCCCGGGATCAGGACCTGAGCTGATGGCAGACGCCTAACAGAGAGAGACACCCATACACCCCATCCCCACCCCTCGCCCACATTTTTTTTTATTTCCTATCATTACTGCGATGATGGTCATTGCCCTCTGCCTCACACACACAAACAACCCAACAATTCTGTAAATCTGCTTTAATGGAAGTCGTCAGTCTTTGGGACATTAACCTTTCTGTGTTGGTGCCAAACGCAGTATGCTTATGAGACCTGAGAAGACTCCTGGCTCCTCTGACAAACTTCTCGTGGAAGGTAACCAGTGAGAAAGAATACTGAACAGGCTTCCCAGAGAAAACGCCCTCTGGTCAGTGTGGCCTTACATAAGCAGGTGTGTTGGGATTTCACAGATTCATTCAAACACGCGATGAGTGAGAAAAAGTTAGGTCATGTGTCTGAGAAAAAAAAAAGAAGAATGAAAGAAAAACGAAACATCCCTTGCAGTCAGAAACCAATTCAGATAAGACTTACAGACACGCAGAGAACTATGGTTTGAGGGTTTTAAGAGAAGTATGAAACAAGATGTACAGGTATACAGAGACAAGGGTGAGTTCTGGTGGTAGAGTTTCCTGTAATTATCTTTGGAACCGAACTCAGCTCATGTCACTTACGTGACCAAGTCACTCAACTTTCTTTATTCTGTTATGACCCCTGGTTTTACAGATGAAGAAACTGGGGCACACAGAATTTAAGTAACTTGTCTGTGGTCACTCAGTGAGCAAGAGCTAGCAGGCTCTGGCATTAGAATCCAGACGAGAAGTCTAGCCCCAAACTCGTCCTCTCTACCAACGTTCTCCTGTGTGCTATCTTTCCAGAACAGGGCGTCCTCGGTACTGGGGTGCCCAAGGGTTTTTGTTCCTCCATGAGAAAATGAGAAAAAACAAAGTAAAAGAAGTGAATTGTTCATAAAGCTGTGTTTTTATTGAAAGTGCTGTCTTTTTATTTTCTAGGACACTATATCTGTTCTACTTTTATTTATTTCTGGTGATCTAGTTTATTCCTTTCTCCCAACATGTTTTATTATGAAATTTTTCAAACGTTGAGAAAAGTTGAGACAAGTACAATGAATGTCCCTATCACCATCCCACCGAACACATAGACCTAGACACAGTCACTGTTAACCTCCTGCCACATTTGCCTTAAAGAGACAGAACTTGATTCCCTGAGCATTAAGAGTGATTTTGTTTTCTTATGAGAATCTTCAGGCCTAAGCAGGAAGGCTCATTTTTCTCTAGGCCACACAGCTTCGCACTCTCCCCCGCTGAGCACATTTCTACTGCAGTGACATCTCCAAATCAGACCCTCACATTTGGAAATGTCATTTAATTTACATTTCAAGGCCTCAAATTTCAGTGTAGTTTTACTATATTACTGC